TAATTAAGTTAATCTAAGAAAATAAATCGATCTTGATCTCAGAGCAAGCAAGGCAAGAACCATGTAAGATGAAAATAGACCAAAACAAAAATGTGCAATCATAGTTATCAAACAAAAAAGCAAAACATGAGAACTGTAAGAGGATGGATCGTATGACTCGTATAAAAATATATATACTTTTTTTTTTTTAGATTACAGCATCATGAGGAACAGGAATATTTCACTTGCTTGGTTTGCGGTTGCTTCTGCAACGTTCTTGGACCTTGGACTGAATGCAGAACAACGGATATGTCTGTATAAAGAGTGCTTAGAAGTAGCCCAGGAAAAAAGGGATTCGGGACTCCTTTTTCATTGTACTCATGCTTTAATTTCGTTAATGACCAACACCATGGGTGATTCCAGGAGTAGCGAAGAAGAAGAATCGGTTGATAAGGAAGAAGAGATGGCTGATGCAAATGAGTACTTGCAAAAAGGGATGGCCCACTTGATAAAAAAAGAATATGATGATGTCATATTCTACAGTGAAAAATGTCTTGCCATAGTACAAGAATATAGTGATAAAGTTGTCGAGATGGGCGCCTGCTTTATGTTAGCGGATGCCCACTTCAGTAAAGAAAAATATGATGATGCTATATTATATAGTGAGAAATGTCTTCCCTTCGCATAAAAATATGGTGATAAAAAAGATAAGATAATTGCGTACAGGACGTTGGGTGATGCCTACTTGAAAAAAGACAAATGAAACTTAAGCCTAATTCTTCCATATTGGTTCAATAATATCTTCATCTTATCCAGGAGAAAGAAATCAGTGCAAAGAAGGTCATCAGACCCAGAGAGAAAACGACTTATAGATGACAAAAACAAGAATGGACATGATGTTAACAAAAGCCAACACATCGTTTCGATATGATTGCCAAAGCTAAGAAAGACCTACATATCGTTTATCTATTCACTTGGATTGCCAGTGCGCCAGTCTGTGGAGGTGTATCTTTTGACTACGGGCTATCTGTGRTTATTAGAGACGAGAGAAACTGGGTACTGGTAAAATCTCTAGTTGCCAGCATTGTGCGCCAGCATTGGTACGAGTAATTCGGCGCGGTTTCATTACCTGATCAGGATTGCGGGCTCTATGATAATTAGTGATGAGCGGAACTGGGTACTAGTAAAGTACTTTCCATAGGAAGCCCAGTCATCTCTAGTGCACAGCATTGCTACGAGTTATTTGGGGCGGTTTCCTTACCTGATCACGATTGCGGGCTCTATGATAATTAGGGATGAGCGGAACTGGGTACTAGTAAAATTCTTTCCACAGGAAGTCCAGTCATCTTTAGTTAACTACGTACGTCAAACATTGCTACATGTTATTTGGAGTTTCCATATTTTAAAGTGATAACGACTGCGGGCTCTCTGATGATTAGAGATGAGCGTTAATGGGTACTAGTGAAATATGTTTCCACAGGAAGCCCATTATGTGAGTTAAGGTAAAACATCGAAAGGGCAACAAAATGCTTTCAGTTTTAACTGAAGTTTCAAGATTCAAGTTTTTGGTTTCAAGTTTCAGATACAATACATGAGCCCCTAAATAGCACGACTCGGTAAATGCTTCTTAAAGAGTTACGAGAAGTGGTCAGTACTGAGTTCACATTTATATATAGGATAATTTATATATTTATGTCTTAAAATCAAAGAACAAAAGAGCAGTATATATGAAGCATTTGATGTTAAATTTATAGATGCAAGGCCTTATATTTTTCAGTGAAAAATACTACTTGTGACACTCAGTAAATAAAGTTGTTTCAGTGATTCATTTTTTGATTGAAGCTCATAGAGTTGGTGTTTATGAAACTACAATAATGTCACTTGAAACTAAAATCAATATTTGACAAATATATATATCCAGGGGCGTAGCGAGGACCTAGGAGCTGGCGGGGCACTGACCCAAAAAGAAAAAAATTACTTCTCCCCCCATAAAACAAATAAACGAATAAACGCGCAAACAAAAAAGAAACAAATTCGTATTGGTATAAACTGATTTATACAGCGCACTTTCTTAGGTTGCAATAATCTATTTTCCTCTTTCGTTTTGGTTTAATATGTTTTGTTTTTGTTTTTTGTTTTTTTCGAAAAAGTTGTTTAAAAATTTGGGGGGGGGCACGTGCCCCCCCGTGCCCCCCCTCGCTACGCTACTGTATATATCTACACCAAATTGCAAGAAGGTTGTCATGTATAAAACCAAATCAGTGAAAAAGAGCAAATGAGTGAAAAAGAACAAATTCAAAAACAGCGAATTAGGGATAATAAGCAAAGAATATGATGATCATTTTCGTGTGATTT